AGCTCCCCCTCCCGGCGGTGCGGGAAGTGCAGGTGCGGACGGCCCGGTGCCGCCGGAGGATGCGGGAGCTCCCGGTGCGGTGTGTGAGGAGGTACCGTTGTGGCATCTTCGTGAAGACAACCAGTTTTCAATGAAGCCCCAGTTTTGAAGTGTTTAAGGTTTTTATAAAATCTCGACCTCTAGAATTGGGTCGTTTATGGCAAAAAAATAGTTGTTAAGAAAGACGCCAGATTTTTGTTGAAGCAGATAAGCCTCCTAAACCCACGTACTTTGAAGTTTTAAATATAAAGCTGTTGAAATCACAAGTCCCGACCAGGCCTTCTGGAGAGTAAAGCACCAAACGAGAACTAAGGCAGTTTGAGCTCACCCCTCAGGGAATGACAGCTTTTAAAAACTTCTACCTTTCTTACACTTGGCAACATTAAAATTTGGGGTTTGTCTCAGAGTAATTTTGTACCAGTTTTTGGTGATAGTGTTAGCAGATAACTAGCAGTCTTTCCAGTTACTTAGCTCAGTCTTGGGTGTGCTTGAAAGCTGAGGACTAAGACTGTATGTTTGGTTTCCTCTTCTCTTAAATGTGTGAGTTGAAATTCTTAGAATTAACATTTGACAGTATACAGCACTAGTAGCCCACATTTCACTTGCTTTTTTTTTTTTTTTTAAATGACAGGACACAAGAGGTCCTCACATTTCCTCTACTGATGTTTTATCTTGGTTTTGATGTTGCTTTGAATTGAGAATTGTCATGCAGATGTCTGTAATGGCAGGTGTGCAGAATTCTCTTGATACTGATTTTCTTCTGGTTACTGTATACATAGTTAACAGAGATATTCATGTTGCCTTCTTGTGTTTGAGACTGTATCTGCATCTACACTGTTAAGTTGCACTTGGATTGTAAATTGGGGGGGAAGATATTGTGGAGAATTTTTTTTCGTATTTACAACACTCATTTGTCTGTGTCTTGTGGGTGTTAGTATAATAATGCTACAGTAATAAGGTGTTAACAGTGGCTGGTTGGGATCTGTTCTGAGAAGGGCTGCCTGCACAAGACAGTAATGAACCCATGAGTGTTATTTTACCTAAGAAAATAATGCCTGTGTGGAGATGGCAATAATGTCTTTCTCCTAGCGATCACTATATTGAGACTCCATATTGTATGGGGAAATTAATTATATTACATTTACCCTGCTAAGGCAACCATTGCCTTTTTTTTAGTTATTACTTTGTCCATGAGGCAAGACATTGTCTTGTGTAAAACACCTTTTAAAAAAAAAGGTAACTTCTATTAATTATGGATAAATTATGCTTAATGAAATGCACTCAGAAACTCCATTTTCTAACATAGTGTATTTTTTAAGCCAGATAGATAAGATCATAAAACCAACACATTTTCACACAAGATTTTCCTTTCTAGTTATTTTATTTAGCATTAAAACTCCTTAGAAAGTTCCTGCTCCTCATAGCAAAGTTGTCAGCTTTCCCTAGTTTGAGAGACATGAGTCTTGCATGTTTCTCACGCTGTTTATTCATTCCTCATACAGGACACAGGCCCATGAAGCCTTCTCTCACAGGGTATCACTTCCAGACAAATTTAGTAGCATCTGAGCATCCTCCCATTCACTATGTGTTGGAAAAGAAACTTTTTAATGCATTGCAGCAGCAAAAACTACAATTTTTCACATGTTTTAGGTTTTCATAACTGTGTATTTACAGTTCATGTTTTATTTATAGTTTGTGCAATTGTAATGTTTTATAGCTCTGTAGCATCTTTAAGGAAAAAAAAAATTTTAGCTCCACAGCAGCTGTATTAGGTGAATGTTATTATTTCTTCCTTATCTATATGCAAACAGAATTTGGAATAGCTTTTCAGTAAATAAAACAAGTCCCAAGAACTCAGGAGGGACTTTGACAGCAGCAGAGATAGAACTTCTCCCATTGCACGCAGTGATCACAGTTACTCATACCTGCAGTAGCAGTGGGCCCTAAGGACTCCTGCAAGGTAACAACAGTATAAATGTACAGGCAGCCCCTCTGAATCAAAACTGTTCTTTTTGCTAACAGAGTAACTCTTTATGAACAGTTATTCCACAAGGAAATACCTGTGTGAAAGGGAAGTTGTTGGAATACTTGGTTGTACCATGGCCAGTCATGGGTGGGGAGATGAAAACTCCACAACTCGTGATCCAGGTGCTCATGAGACAAACAGCCTTGTTTATTATTCAGAACTCACTTAAATACTCAATTAAAAAATCCTGGGCTTGATATCTATTGGCTGAGATCTCTCTCCCTGCCCAGCTTCCTGGCCAGTGATGTGCTTGCTTCTCAGCTTGGATGGAGATGGCTGAGGGTCCCCTGTAACTTCTCTGGGAACATATTCAGGCATGAACCAGGCCAGCCAAATTGGATTTGTGTTATGCTGAGATTTACTTTGTCCAGTCCAGGCCAGCTGTACTGTGACAATACTGTGACACTTGGTATAATAGACATGCAATTTCTTAAGTTCTTTTCTCCCCTACTAAAAGTTGTAGCAAACCAACATGTGAAAGCAGCAGATGTGCAATATGATTGTTAAAACTCTGTGTAGATCCTCCTGTGGTAAAGTGGTCTCTTCAGAATAGCTTGATCCTCCTTTGGTGAGGTGTTGGAAACCAAAAAATAGAAACTTCCACAGATGTTGAAGGGTTCAATCTGCAGCCTTGGAAAGAGCTTGGACTGATGTAGTGATGAAGGTACACAGACATTGGGTAGAGAAATGATAAACTCATGTTCCTATAATTATGAATAAGAATATGCATAGAGCAGGTAAGAAATCATATTAGGTAAAAGAGTTTGAAGTTTAAGCTGCAATAGTGTGACTTATAGAGTAGGTTAGAGATCTAGAAACTCTAACAGAGGTGTGTATGGGTATGTGACCTGTCAGCTTAGTGGCTAAGAGAGAGATGCAGTGCAGCAAAATTAAGTAAAGGTGATAGGTTTTAAAGTGTAAATAAGTGTAAACAAGTTTCGTGTCAACTGCCTATTGGGCTAAAATGTTACATATTGCTGTGCAAAGAAGAAACTCGTGTCTTCCTTGAGCTATGGCTGACTTGTTGCTCCTCTAAACCTCACACCTTGAGACTGATCTCTTATCTGGCTACTTGAGCAAGAAATCATTTCAAAGCAAGGTGGTCCCATCCCTTGCTCTTCATCTTGACAGTGAGAGGTAAGAATTTATGCTTAAACCACCTTCACATTCTCACTGCATAATTTACAGAGGCAATTTATGGTACTCTGACCTGTCTGGTGGAGGTCATTAAACTTCTAATAAATCACATCAGTCACCTGCTGTGACAGCCAGGGCTCGCAACACTTGAGAGCAGAGAAACTCACACCAAAGGCTGTGTGGGGCTGCCAGCCTGGTGTGTTCCACTGCCTGAGCTGTGGCTGTGGAAACAAACCCCTGCAGCTGTGGTCAGGTGAGGCCATTGCAGCTGACAGCCATCTTGCTATCAAATACTACACTGGGGTGTGTGACAGTGTATTTCCTCTTCTGGGATTTAAACTTCTAGAGCAGGTGAGCAGGGGCTATTTAACCATTGTCTCTGGTACAACGGACATGAAATGGCAAGGCTGTTCTAGATATACTGTCCTCCTTAAACTTTATCTGCAAGTGATTGCAAGATGTTTGTTACCTATTTCCAATAACTTAAAACCACTTGATTTGGAAAAGAGTTTTTAAAAGCTGAAATACAGTGAAATGTGGTAGCACTGATAGTATTTAAGGTCAGTTCTTGCCATGCACATTGAAAAGTATTGGTTTGTTGCAGCAACGTGCTGGGAGTAAGTTTGCTTAGCACCCAACTGGCAAATAAACTAATCTTTGGCAAATATGAACAGATAGAAGAAGTCCAGAAGAGTAAACTGGAAGATCACCTGAACTTTGACATATACAAACAAATAGAAGTGAAAAAAACCTTGTGCATTATGCTCTTTTTAAATTTTACCCAATTAGTGCAGCAAGATATTTGTGCATTGAGATATAATTACCACTGTGATATGCTTGAGAAGAGCTAGCTGGTATAGTGTAAGCCTCAATAGTTATATCTGAATCCTCTGGCCTACGTGAAAAATTAAGACATGGGATGTTGGCTTTTCACTGTACAAGTGCTGTTTAGCATATAGAACCACAAGATTAAGAGATACTGAGCCAAATCCACCCCTGATGTCAATTAACTTCTGTATAATGACATTAGAGGTAATTTGGCCGTTTATATTTAATCTGATTTGCATAGATGGGCAGCTTGAAGTAGGTGGCTGTGAATGGAATGCCTTTTCATGCAAATCACTTGCCTAAGTATTGGCCTGATATGATTGAGAGCAGCTGTTATCCCTTGCATCTTAGTAGCCCTAGATCAGAGATATTAACCATGCTTAATTATACATATAACCACTAAAGCCAATGATGGACCTCATTCAGAGTTGAGGATAGGCAAGAACTTTCAGAACAGTGCAAGTTCTTAGTCTCAAGCGGCCCTTAGAGATTCTTGGGGTTTAATTTTTTAAAAAATTGAAATACTGTATTTTGCAGGTTTTCAAAACCTGCAAAAAATTATTTTTAAAAATTATTTTTAAAAATTATTTTTAATATTCTGACTTCCTGTGAAGAACTTTTTGGAACATGATAGGAATCCAATGCCACTACACACCAGGGAAAAGAATAAAAAAACCCACTAGTGCCTGGGAAAACAGAGATCCACTTGGCCACATAACAGTCACTACAATTGTATGATATTTGAACAGATTCTTGCTTCACTCTTGGTCTGATGGTAAATCATTCAGTTTGTATTTTCCTTACTACTGTAGCTTCTTCCTTTCCTTTTATTCTAAAACTGTGCTGCAATATACTCTATTATAGAAAGCATTTCTTTGATGTTACAATTCTAATGTTTGCATATTGCTTATAAGTCTTGTTACCTAAATTCTCATCCCAAGGCATTTATTTTGTGTATGGGATATACCTTTTAAATTTTGTAGCTCAGGGCAGTGTTGGTTTGCAGCTAATCAAACCTGCATTTCCAAATGTTATGTTTTGAATAAGCCATCTCTTAAAACAGTCTGTGGTTCAGCACTTTGTGGAATGTTTTTACTACATATCCAACACACTTCATAGGATATTTTTACTATGTACACAATATATTTGCTTTCACTATTACTTTTCATTATTTGTTCTTTGTTGTTACATGCCAAGGTAAAGTGAACTCCTATTATCCAATCCTGCTATCAGGCCAGGATCATTAGAAGCTGTAGGGAAAAGCAGAAGATAACTAATTCTCCACGTTTTTTATTAAACTTGCTATCTTGATGAGGAAATAATGACCAAAAAATAAATAAGTTGGGAATTTTACCATGTTCTGTTCTGATGTGCATGAATGGAAAGTGAGCTTATAACACGTCCTTCTTCCCTTTGCCATCCTTTCTCACTCAGACTTCTTCCTGCTGTTGTTATAAGAGCTTATCCTTCTGCAGATGTGAGATAATATGCTTTTGTCTGTCTGCTTCTCATAGATGCTCTTTTATTTTTTCCATTTTCCAATCAGAAGGGCTGTGGAGCGCTGAAACACCCCGTGAGCCCTCTACTGGCACTTTCTGCTTTTGCTTTAGGCTGTGCTAGTGGTTTTTCCTTCCCTGCTGTGCTTGCTAGAGCCTAAGGAGACAGGTTAGCGTCTGTTAAACTACTTTAATCTTGCTGACTTTTTAAAATTTAGTTCATGTGCGAAGGAGTCCTCGCGTTCGCTGCTGTACCCGGCAGTTTGGTACCTTTGGTTGGTCTGGTTCCGCTGGGCACGGTGCAGACACGAGCGTTCCCTGCGGAGCCCCCGTGCCGAGCGGGGCCCTGAGGCTGCGCTCCCCGGGCAGCCCGGGCCAGGGCACAAAGCAGAGCCGCCTGTGTGCGCTCCCTGCTCCCAGGCTGGCCAGGGGAGCCTGGCAATACGGCTGCGCTGCTCAGCGCCACCGCCTGACGCAGAGCTGCTCTAAAAGCTGGAGGTGCCGTGAGGAGCGCCCCGAGTGAGAGCCGGAGGCAGGAGAGAGCTGCGCTCATGCTGAGAGCCGCTGCTGGGAGTTAGGGTTATTAAAGCTCCGTATGCCACTTAGAAAAGCACCTGAAAAGGAGCAGATTGGTATCGCTGGTTTTGCACGACACTTGCCTGTGATTTTAACTCTTTGCTTCCTGGCACACTCCAGTCAACCTTTGCAAAGATTTCCTAGACTGTGTCCTTCCTCACTGGGCAGGTGCGGTCCAAACCTGTTCAATGCGGGCTCTGGGATTTTTTTCAGCACACTCACGGAATATACGTGCTCTAAATGCCTACAATACAGAGGAATCCAGCTACTTGTAATGGGATGCATTTGCAGAGAGGAAGAATTCCTCATTTAAGATGGGTAATAAGCAAACGATATTTACTGATGAACAGCTAGATGCCTACCAGGTAAGATATCTTGATTTGCTTTAGGGGATGGAAGGGAGTCATCTACACACGTTTGTGATTTGGTTTATTTTGTTTGGTTTGGGGAGTGGTTTTTTCCCAGTATAATTGAAAACTTTCTTTGTAACCTGCATGTGTGTATTCTACTGTTCCTTCCAGTAGCTGTAATAATATTCTAAGGCTGGGTCGTTGAATATGCTCATTTAATTCTGTGTATAGAGGGAGATGGGCCACATCCTCAGTGTCTGAACTAGGAAGCAGAATAAAGATTGTGACTAGCTTGACAGAAGTGTAGCACCTTCTCTCCCTGATGCCTTTGCTGACAATAGAGCAGAAAGGAAAAAAATAGATCCTGTCTAAATTCACTTCTCCTAAGGATAAGTCAGGGAAATATGCTTAATGCTTAATTAACACCAGAATTGGTGTCATTATGCTTGCATCCACTCCTGGAAAGCAGTTTCTTACCTCATCTTAAGTGTGCATTTTATGTCAGGATAACTTGGTACTTCTTTATTTACTTAGCATTGCATCCAACTGCTGTTAAATACAGTAAAAAAAAAAAAGATTCACAGTTTTAGTCATATTTCAGCACACTGCAAATCTCACTGAAATGGATTGCAAGAAGCTGGACATCTTGAAAAAGTTTCTGAAAATACAGTGGGGCACAGCATTGAGTAGAAGTGTGCTAAAGAAGGAGGTATCTGACTACTTATTAAGAGGCAGCCAGGGCTATTCTATATGAAGTGACAAACATTGAATTAGCAGCACAGGAAATCAAGGTTTAGTTTATCTTGTGAGAACCAAGGGACAGGTACAGATCCTTAAGGGATTGGGTAACTCAGTAACATTTTACCTTTGTGATCCTTGATTAAACCTATTGAAGTAGAAACTATTATTTTAGTTACTAATTTCATTTCAAGTCACTGCTAACAAGGGCTTGTCACAGGTGTAAATGTTGAGCCACAGAGTGAGGCCAGGTGTACATGCTAAAATGCTTTCAGCCGTTATCCCACGCTGAAAGTAAAGCATAAATGAAATGCTTTTATAAATACCTAGCAGGTTTTTTGTTATTAAAGAAAATGTGACAATGGACCTTTTTAATTTCCACTTTGCCACACTTCTCACCAGCAGTCTGTAATGTATTAATTTAAGTTAATGATCTTAGGCTTAGCAGTCGAAGATCCAAAAAATCTTTTTCGCATCCCTGCTAGACAGGCAAGAGAGAAATCAAAGATCTGTAAAGCACCACTGGCTGTCTTCCTACTAACAAAAGTGAACACTGAACAGAGCACAACTGCAGTGAAACAAAACAAAATCCAAATGTAATTAATGTTATCTTCTTGACATAAACTGGCAAATGCAAGAGCTGAAATGTCATCCCTAATTCAGTGCTCTTCATGTAGAAATTGCCTCTCTCTAATGGCTTTTGCAGCCCCTGCCTTTCATAATGCTGGGTAATTGATCTCAAAGCTTGGCAGGAGTTGGGCACAGTGGATTGAGTCACCTCTGGGATTTCTCTGTTACAGGCAGACTTGCAGTTCATTAGTGTAGAGCTAGACAATTTTTGACTAGTAATAGCACTTGTTATCTTTGGCAAGTACCATAAAATAACAGGTTTCAGGACAATAACTGACCTGCTGAATTTGTCAGGAAGGAGTATTAGCCTCATGCTGTGAAGAAACAGATAAAGACCTAATTTTGATGGTAATTTTCCTCTGATCCATTAGTTTTGCATCCCTCTTGAACCTTTTAAACAAAAAGATCCTGGGCTGACGGCTGGAGACACCAGCAGAGAGCTCTTGCCTCTCCACAGCATCCTGGGGGAGAAGGCAGTTTGTATAATACAAGTGGAGCTGTTTGACTTGGAGTCTGCTGTCTCACCTGCCTTCTTCTCATTCGTGGATTTTTTCAGAATAGAAAAGGGAAGAATGGGACGATGTTTCAATTATTTTTTTTTATTTAATGCAGGTTTTTCATGTCTTGAGCCAGCAGCTGAGTTACTGGGAGCTCTAAACTGTGGGCCAAAGTAAAACACTGTGTACCACAGTCCCCTTTGCAACAGTCTGTTGTGCACATCTGTACCCCAGTGACCAGGAAGGCATCTACATATAAATTGCTTTTATATATCAATCATTGAGTATTTTTTTTTCCCTACAGCATTTTTTTGTGAATTCTTGTGCCTGTTACTACTGTACTCCTTACAACAGTAGTCCAGGGTACAGTGTTCATTATATCAGCATTCAGAAGCAAAAGTGTTAATCTTTTTTGTAAAATATATCTTGGTTGTTCGTTTTTTTTTCTTTCCTCCCAGTTCCTATTGGAAGAATGTTCAAAACCTCACTCACCTCATGGTTAGACTTCTCATTTCTTTATTGAAATATATTTCTGGACGTCGTATTATCTGGTAGTAACTTCTATTACTTCTGTCTTTTGTACAAATTCCTTTGAGCTTATAGCACCTAATATTGTTTCAGGAGGAATATTTTTATAATTTTTTAAAAATTCATTGTGTTTTATGTGCTTGTTCCATAAAAGACACTATGAGATGAAAAAGTGAGAACTTTGTGTGCTTATACTATGGTAAAACCTGTGCAAGTGGCTTTGTCTTTAGAGACTGAAGATTAAGCTGCAGAAAAATCACCTGCTTGAAGAGCTAGCATACATAAATCTCAGATCATTGGTGTGATATTAATGAAATAAAACAAATCAAATTGTTTGATCTATCTAAAACTTTCTGAAAAGCCTATGTATGCACCTTTTTTTGCATGTAAATTGTTATATTGAAGAACAAATTTTTAGCAGAACTTTTAACTTTAATTTAAAGAATTGTAAATGTGGTCTCCCACAGGATGTCCTCAGTGTTTTCAATGGACAAATTTTTTAAATGCTCCTCATTCAGACTCGTGATGAGTAGCCAGTTAAAACTGTTCGTACAAGAGACCTGTAATAGAACTTGATAATACAAAACCATTCAGGTTTTTGTTTATTGGGGTTTTTTTTTTAAATGCAAGTAGGTAGAAGCAAAGTAAAGAAAGGAGATTTGCAGCTTTCCAGTCTAAAACCTTGTTATAACACCTGCTGTTAAAATCATATCACCTGTTATCATGGTAGTGTTCTTGTTGGTAGCTCTTTACATTTTCATAAGATTAGTGAAATGTTTTGCAAATTAGGCTTTTGCAAGCCCTGGGTTCCTAATAAAAATTCACTTGATTTAAAATACTGGCCTTGTAAGAAAAGGAATTTTACTGGGCATTTATGATTATTATGCCCTTAGAGTTCTGGTTGTGGTTTTTAGGGTTTGTTTTGTGAATGGGGGTTTTGGCTGTTGAGGGTTTTTTTATACAGAAAATGTGAAATCTAATCTTGGTGAGGTCTGGTGCAGGAAAAGGTAAGTATTGATAGGCAAGGAAGATGGGATTCATTGCAATAAAAGAACATTTTAAAATTGAGGTTTTAAAAGCTGCCTACGGATTTTGGAGGTCAAGTCTCATATTGAGAAAAGAAAATGAACTGAAATTTTAGGGTGTTTTGTGTGATGTGTACAGATGTTTGAAGCAATGGAAAATACAGGTATGCAGTAAAGCAACATCAGAGCCATTTATTCAGCTTGATGCAAAGCATTTCTAACTGTAAAACAATTGAATTGAGTAGGAAATGCAGAGAAAGTATACTTGGGCTCTGGACAAACACCTGCACTCTTCAGTCAATCTCATTCCCTTTTCTGGGATTACTTGAATTAGGAGATCTGAATTCAATACAAATTCAGTGATTTTCCTTTTCCTTTCTTCCCCTTCTCCTTTTCTTTCTTTCATTTCCCTTCTAGAACCTAGAGATTATAAGGCATATTACTGGTTTTATTGCAAGTAATTTGTATTTGTTCATTAGTGGTATTATTTACTCTGCATTATTTAATGCAGTCACGAAACAAACTGATGGTTACCCTGTCAGTTTTATAGGCAATATTGCAATACAATATACTATGATGAAGTAATGACTATCTTCTTTTACACAAGATTTTCTCTATTACAGAGCTAATTTTTTTCTTTTTATCAAAATTGAAGTTAAAGTGCAATTCAACTATATTTCATGAGAATTATGCAAAACCAGATTAAACAAGTTATGTTATGATCTGTCAAGAAACACGATTTGCAAAGTAAAACAGGTTTATCAATCTGTCTTTTAAAAAGCCATGCTTGATTTCATCCAGGGTCTTGGAAAATTGCCTTTTATAAGAATACAAAAAGTAGGTTCATAGGTACCCCCAGATCTTCTGTAAAAAGTATTTTCCATTTTATACAGTATTGCTATTATTGTGCAAGTAAAAGTGGCATATTAATGGAGCAATATTTTTGTGAAAATATTCTTTTTGTCAGGTTCTGGTTTCACATTACCATTTGGTGCATCTGTAGATTAAACAAAATTACTTTTGTTGGCACTTTGCCTCTTTTCAGTCCTTGCTAATGTCTGAGTTATTTTTACTCCCCTGTTGCCATATGAATACATAAACCAGCTCTTACAGATGCAGATTTTTTCCTTCTGAAACTCAGTGGGTCTTTTGGTTGGTTTGGGTGTAATTGTAAAGTGTATATGGTGACAAGCAAGGATGAGCTGTATGGTAAAATTTTTGTTGGTGTCCTGATGTAAACAGCATTTTTAACTCATTGACTCTGTTAACTCTTTATACACTAACAGTGATGAAAATACATAAATATCTTGCAGACTCAGTCTTACACAACTCTATGCCAGTCTTAGCAGTGTGGAATGTAGAACAAAAGTATTGCATTTGTAAAAGATTACCAGAACAGAGTTAATAATAGATCATATAAAAAAAGTTCATTTGCTTGTCTGGTACCAGATTCTTGGTTGCTTCACAGGATGATGTTTTGATAGTGTTTTGATTAAATGCTCTTACACACATTTTGTACTTTGGCACGGTACAAACTGTCATTTGTGATTTTAAAAATGAAACCTCTGAGGTAATTTGCTTGAAATATTACCTTTTAAAGTGCTGCAGCATCCAATAGTTAGCATTTAAGAGCTGCTCTCAGATAGCTATATGGTTTACAGTATCTGCATTACCTGTAGTTTGCTGGCTTTTGTTTGAGGCTTTTGTTTGAGGCTTTTGTTTTTTTATTTTTTTAATTTGCAGTGATTTTGTAATTTTTTTGATTTATATTATTTTCTTATTTATAAAAGTTTCCAGTGAAGCTGGATCAAAGTAAACTTGACCTTATGAAACTATACATATACAAAGCAGGATATATATGTATTGTCTTAGGAGAGAAATATGCATTTAATGGCTTTCAGAAATACTGTTCTACAGCATATTTGAGTATTTCTATTCTTTCATTCTGTTGTTCATTTCTCCAATGTTTGTTCTGTAGGGGAGTGTTTTGCACACCACCATGAAATGAGCTTTATTTCACAGCTGTGCTTTGTGAAAGTTCTTGTTTCTGGGAGCAGTGCTCAGTAACCTCCCATTCACTGGACTCTGGTAGCATTCATGAGCTGTGTGCTGCCCTCGGGAACTGGCAATCCATGCCCAGAACAGCTGGTTGGTGGGCTGAGTGCAGCCACACCTCCTGGTGTGCTGGATGGATCTCTGCACACAGTTCAGTAGCAGCATTGACAGAGCATCTCTCTCTCCCCTTTCTTGTTTCCTTCAAATCACTGTAGAACTCAATACAAAGCAGAACCAACCAAGGAGTTTTCAGTCAAGTGGACAGGGTGGTGGACCACCATATTTCAGTTTGTTCAGTCCTAAATCTGCATTCATCTGACACAGGAAATAAAAGAATAAAACTAACAGCACGTGCATGCTACTCTGCTATAAAATAAATTTTAAGAGCAGAGACAGTTAACTGTGCTTTACAAGCAATGCTGAGTGACTTGTAGAAAGTCCAATTACCAGCCATGAACCAAGCTACCTGTGGAACCTAAATGCACTGTCTGCCTCTTTTCTCTGCTAAGTATTTTAAGAAGCAGTTAAACCATCTAAATGTTAAATTTGAGAACCATTATACAAGGTCATGATCTCATGGAAATCAATGGGAAATTTATTTTTTGTTTGCTTGATTTTATTTACTTTGTTACAAGACATTGAGTAAATAATTGCAGATTTGTTTTAGTGGTATCTTACACCTCAAAAACAACCATCAGTGATCCCATGTTGGACTTCTAATTAACTTGATTATAAAGGGCACAAGGACAGAGTGAATAGGAGAGTTGACCTTGGAAAAGGTGTGTGTTTGTTCTCAGGGGCTGGAATAGGTGACATGTCAAGGTAAAGCCTCTGTTCTATGGAAGCTAAAAGTCTCAAGGGCCTGCTGTTAGCAGAAGTCTTTCAGGCCATTGTCTAGCACTGGAAATAAAGGAAATAATTCCTAGGATCAATTCTTGCCTGTAATGTTGACCTGAGAAGAATTCTAAAAAACCCTGGTGATGTTTATTGTTCAGTAACCAGTTTCTGCTTTTCTAGCAGGACTCCCAGACAGATAGAACTGACAGGTTACTTTTTGTGCTCTTAGTAAACTCAAATACAGTCCACAAAATAGCAAATGTGTTCCATACCTCTGGCTTGCAGGAAAATCAAAGTTATCCTGTGCATAAATGACAAATGCTTTCCAGAGCCCACTTCACCTTTCCTATGAGAGAGTGAATTTAACATGTTAATTTACTATTTATTGTCCTTCATTGTATATTTTTCTGTATGAATGAAGTAGTCAGAAGAAAACGGGATGATTCACCTCCGTGTTTCTTTGGCGAAAGTCTTTAATTAAATTGGAATTAAATTGCTGAAGTTCCAGCCACTATAAAATATAATTATGTTATTTAGATATTTTGTCCATCATGATTTTATCCAGCTGAGGGCTGTGCTTTCAAAAAATAGGAAAAAGAAATCAGTCCTGCACCCCTTTCTTGCCATCAATACTTGTTTCACCTTCATGTCCTGTACCAGCACTGCCAATGCTAAATTTTATGTCACTAAAAGGAAATTATCCAAGCTGGAAAAGCATCCATTATTGCTAGGTTCATTTACAAACACATTAGTTCCTTCTCTCAGAGCTCTCTGATGCAGTTATTCTGCTCATCAATCTCAAGTCTGCATAAAGGAACAGCAGAAATAAGAAGGTGGGAAAAGCAAGAGGGATGGCTGGACTTCCCTGTCAGAGGTCATGTGGAGCTGTGGTTTTGCATTTGCCATTTGATACCAGACAGGCTTCTGAATGGTAAATTGTTTCATATGTGGTACCATCTGGCTGGATCAGAAGTATAGGCCAGGTCACAATGAGTTTGTGGTGCTTTGACCCTGAGTAGCTTTAAGATCTCTCTTAAGAGTGAGACCATTCTTAATTTATTTTTTTAATGCCCTTCATCCCTGACAATTCCATGCAATTGACAGGTGTAATTGAAGTAATGGTGGTTAGGCAGATAGTTGCAACTACTTCTGCTATAGAGGTTTTCAGTATTAGTGGGGTTTAGATTGCATTAGTAAAAATTTTGTTGATTAAAAACCAGGCAGACAGCAGTGTTTGTTGTCAGTGTCATGAAGCAACTCTGAATAAAATATAAAAAATGTGTGGACTGTCAGCAAATATGGATTATTAGTTGACCTCCTCATTTGTCTTCCAATAGCATTTTTTGCAGAACTCCTGCAAGGTAAAGGGTAACTTTTCCTTTTAATCTTTCTCTCCATTTGTATATCACTTCCCTGTCAGCTTTCTAGTTAAGTGGCTGCTGTTTTCCCCCAGCCTATATAATTACAGATGATTGCTGCTGAGGGCATTACAATTATTTGTGAGATTACACCTGCCCTTTCTTAGTAAATTAAGCATCCTTAAGTGACAGTTTGAGTGTGTTAATTGTGTGGAATTAAGGAAGACTTGACCAGCTGGCTCCGATGTCACTTTGTGCAGTTGCAGACAATGTGACATCAGTATCAGCAGCTCCCAAGGTGCTTCCTCCTGGGTCTTGTAACTACACAATGCACTGAAGGAAGAGCTGCTGCTCTGGGCACTTTGTATGGAGGAGAGAAAGGCAGCTCAATAATTGATACCTGCAGGACTGATCACATTCCTGGACACCCGAGACAGGTCTTTGCTTCTGCCAGAGGGGATCCTTTGCTTCTCCCCTCCTTGGAAGAAGCAGGCATTTAGCCCTAATGAGTCTCAGCTTGAGAAAGAAATACTTTTTCATTAGTTGACTGAAGAGCAGGACTGGGAGAGTCAAAGCAGTTGTATGTTACCTTTAAGTATGACTTACCATGTCTGATACTGTTATCTTGTCACAAGCTGATTTTCAAAGATCTTTTTCTGTCACTGACATAGAAATGCATGAAATGCAAACTCTTCCACTGCTCATAATCCGGTTCTGTGGTGAAGTGTTTGAATTCAAGTATAGCACAGGTGGTCATGAATTGAATTAAACCAATGTCAATTCAGTCACATCATGGAGCCATTTAGAATGCAAATGAATGTTTGTATGCTCTTCTCTCAAGTTGAGCAAGCTCTATCTCTGCATTTTAGTAAGTTATTTCTAGTTCTGTGATAGAACAGGGAGAGCTGAATGGTTTGCTGCTGTTCAGGGCAGGGGCTGCCCATTTATCCATGCTCCTAAAATAGAGGAGTTTGTAGCATTCAGCAAAGTGACCACAGTGCAAACTGATTGTTAGCAAAAAGGGTTAATGACTAATAAATAAATACATTATTTTATTATTAAAGCAGTTGTCTCCAGCAGAGGGATACTTCAAGTTAAAAGACAGTTTTTGTCATCTATTTGTTGTTCATAGTTTTCCATATTAATTTATTGAATACTTTTGGCATGTAACTTGTGTTTTGGATTTAATTTTGTTTCTGGTCTGGTTATTCCATATTGGAGAAATATCTCAGCAACCTGGGTTTTTTTCCTCCTGAACTATCACATTACCAATATATTTCTTTTTGCTGAGAGGCCTTTCCTTGGAACATTTCTGTTATTTTATAGTATTTTGTATATATATATACACACACAGTATATATAGTATGGTATTTTATAGTATGTAGTATATATATTATGTAGTATATTACCTTCTGAGTCAAAAGTAGATGGCACCCAAACAGCATCTTTAACATTTCTCTGTCAGATCTGAGTTTCCTTCCAAAAGGTTGAGAAACAACTCTTTGCAGTTGTTTTCAGTATTTCTTTAGTACAATGACATATTTTGTTTCTTTAACAGGATTGCACGTTCTTCACTCGAAAGGAAATCCTTCGGTAAGTAAATTGCTTTAAATGTCTCCTTTATGATCCATGTGGAAGGAGCTAAATCTTATCTGGCTTGTGAGGAAACCAGATAAAGCCAGTTATTCTGCAGGAATTAATGAGAGCAGGATTGGATTTAAGATACACTTATAATGTATAATTGTCATAAAGTGGTGATTGGCTTAAGGCGAATATCATAGACTATTTTAGGGTAGAGCCAGTGACTTGTATGAATGGGATTTGCTGCCTTTCTGCTCAATGATAGCAGTGAAGGTACATCCTGCAGCAAGTGTAGAATCCAGAGGTGTCTGAGGCGAAGTTTTAGTGAACAGGAATAAAATGGGTTATGACACCCTGGTCAATTAGCACTTAGTGATTTAGCATCTCCCTGTCTCAGTGAAGGTGCACACAGGTACTGCTGGGCACTTATTTACACTGCAGGATGCTCACAGGGCTGATGTGGAGGAAGTGCAGGTCCAGTCCTCTTTAGGCTGAACTGAATTTCTTGTGCAGCTGCTGACTTCAGTGAGATGAATAAATAAAGCCCTGTCTGGGTTACCATCCATTTGCTTGTCTGTTAATGACTGTTATGTAGGTGGGGATGAAGGGATTAATATAGCAGCTTCAATTTAGATCGCTATAAACTGATATAAACCAGCATGAGATTGCAATTAGGTGAAATGGGCTAAGCACTCTTACCTGTCCCTACAGGGAAAGTAGCCCATCAAACCCCCAAACAACAGTAAATCTATTTTCTGCTGGTTTAATAAACTGAATCAGCTCATCTGAAGGATCGGATGAGTGCCAAAGCTGGCATAAGAGCCAGAGCAAGCAAATGCAACTGAAAATGAGGAGAGCATTTCCCTACAAGTAAGGTGTTGGTTAAGGTACACACTGACTGTAGTGTGCAAGGCTTTGGTGTCAGTATCAGCTTAAGTCAGCATAAATGCAGACTGTGGTCAGAGGGGTTGAAGACACATTTTTTGATTAGTAATCTGAGTGTGGATAATTTGCAAATTATTAGAAAGTAGTATAACTTATGAATTTAAGTGAAGAAAAAATTAACACAAGGTGCTGAAAATGGACCTAGGAAAAAATATAAAGTAAGACTGCAGCAGAGGCAAGGGTGCCTGGTGAAAGAGAAGAATAGAAACCATAGCTCACTATTGGTGTTTGATAGCTGTTTATCACCAGTCTCCTAAGTCTTTGTCAAATATGGTTAATTTTTGGAAGTGCTGATCACAGCTCAGCTATGAGCATTCAGTCAGGGCCCAGGGCAAGAACATATTAAAGAATATTGGTTATTGTAGATGTATTTATGTTATCGCTGACTCAAAACCTTGTCTAAAATACACATAGGACAGCTGACAGATTTTTAGAGCTCTTACACCAGCTTTGGTGGTGATAGGGCTTTGGAAACATGCCCCAGTGTCTTGGTTTGGAAGACAGGTGTCTGCTAGGGAAGACAGGAACCTCCCTTGGAATGAAAAACGTAAACCCTCTCCCTCTAAATTATTATAATCTTGAAATTAAGGGGCGCTCAAGCAGAGATACTGGGATAGGAATAGCAGTTCTTTACTAGTGTGTATAACAAGGCAAACAAACAACAACTATGGTATAAATAACAAAACAGAACCAGGGACCCCGTGACAGCCTTCTTTACCTGAAAGGATGGAGAAGAGGCTTTTCTTCACCAACCCCCTGCGGGCATTGGATCTCGGTGCCCCTGCAGGGCTCTGAGAAACACCCAGCTGGAACGGCAGGACTGAGAGGAAAATCCCGGGCTGGTGGACGAGGTGTAGCAGAAGCTCCACGGCAGCTGCTCGCACTGCAGGACGTCCCGGCAAGACAGGGATTGCGGGGGCCCACAGATGGAGAAGTTCCCTTGGGGTTATGGTGAATTCCTTTCCCCAAAACCACAACAGTTCCCAGTGCGTCCTGCTCTGAAACCCAAGAAAAAAACCAGCGCCCCCCCTCCGCAGCTGCCCTCTCTCTCTCTTTTATCTGCCCCCCTTCTCTCCTGGGCCCAGCCAAACTCTGTCTTCTCAAGCACCCAATAAGTACCAGCAGTCAGGTTTCCCCACAACTAATGGGGAAAAAATTCTATAGGTGAGAAGGAACCAAAGGAAGGACACCTAACCCGCAACACCCAGATTTCTTAAGGAGAATGTGGAAATTTAGACCAATGTGTTTAGCTTCAGGATACAACTTTTCTGCATGGAGAGATGCCAGAACACACTGGTAGACAATCAGTCTCTGAGTGCCTAGAACTTAATACATGATCAGAGGCAGCCACTGTGGATTTGTTAAAAGCAAATCTTCCTGGGAGTGTCTGCTTCTGTAAGCCAGAGAAAAGACACAGCTGCAACATGTCTTTATTGGTAAAGGCTTTTACATATTCCAGTTTGTGTTAGTCCTTTTCTACTTGTTTAAGTGCACTGAAAGCTTGGTCAAAGTACTCCTGAACACGGAAAATTGGTGAGAATGGTAAGAAACATTGAGGTGAAGGGAGTTGCAGGTGCTATGAAGATTAAGATTAGCTTTTTCAACAGTATTTAGTATGTTAGAGAAATTGCTAAAGTGAACAAGAGGAAATTCACACACTCAAGTCCTAGGAACTGTGAAAAATTTGCAAGTGTGAAATGATGCTAAAAAAAAAGTGGGGGCTGGGGCTTCAGTGATGTGAACATACTTTTAACAACACAACCCCCACAATACTCTTGCAAAAAAGAGAAATGCATTTCTACAATGCATTAGCCTCAGCAGTGTTTATAAAATGGGAGAATACCAGTCAGCAGTACTGTGACCTCAGTAGGAATGGACTGTCCAGTTTTGGGCATTACCATTCAAAAAGATTTGTTTCCCTGGGAAATGCTGGGTAGGGAGAAACAGGAACAAAAAGAAAAAAAAATATGTCAAGAAAAGTTGGAAAACCACTTTAGTTGTAGAAATGAATCTGCTTGTATAACACTCCTCTCTTGTGATTGTAAATGGGAATAAATTGTTGAGTTGTCTCTTATAAGGCATTATTTCTCTTACTCAGTTTTACAAATCTGATTTTCTGGCAGACAAGCTTTTACTCCAGCAATAATGCTTATCTGCTCAGCAGCCCATCTGTTTCTGCTTCTCCCTGTAGACTGGTACAGTTTGGCACCCAAACAAACACTCAAACACAGGTATTTCTGGATGTCTGTCCTAGCCAAAAAGCACAAATGTTGTAAATTCAAGTTGTATTACTTGAGAGTGACTTAACCTAGTTAGACAACTGCCATGGGAATATGGCACTAAATGATGAAGCTGGGCACCACCTGGGACATCAGCAAACCTTTGAACCTTTTTGTAGAAGAAAAATAGTTCTTCTGTTGCCTGGTTTCGTGGCTTGTTCTTGATGGGTGAAAGGTGAGGTGACAGGAGCACTTCTAGCCAATCCAGCTGAATGTTGGATTTTAAATCTGAAATCTGCCAGAGAATTAAGCAATGTATTTCTTCAAATTCCTGGAAAGCTTCCTTATAAGGGAGCAAATGCAGCAAACTGCTTGGAGGCAGCTCCATGTGGAGCAAGTTGTTACACAAATGGAGGGAGGAGTTAGAACACAACTCCTGTTTTTCTTTTAAAGAGTTTGAAGTTTTGTATGCAGAAAGGGGAATTGCCCTATTATCAGTGTAAAAAACGAGGTTCACATTTTTTATATAAAATTTTTTAAAGTTTAATAGAAAGACAATTAGGAGATAGAAATAAAGCAAAATGAACAAATACAGCCAGGTGCCTCAGCATTCAGCCAAGAGAGCAGATTTTGCCAACAAAGGATTGTCCCTTAAAAACACAAACCTATTACATATTCATAAATTCTTATACATGATTCAAACATTCCTCTTAAATTTTAGATATTCCTTTGTTTAGCTTCAACTCCCTTCTCCCCAATAGATCAATCTTCTTGTCTCCATTGAGTCTCATGCTCCCTGATAATAGAGGTTCAATAAATTCTTTCTTTGGAGCATTTCTGTACCATAAACCTTTCCTGTATTATATTTTAGTCAGATTGTACCTGTTTTACTAAGGCTTGTGAGAGGAGAGAATCTCTGTCAGTGTTGATCTTTATGGAGTCTGGAGTGCTGCTGTACTGTGCCCAGTTCTGGGGTCCCTAGTGCAGGAGAAATAAGGATCTGCTCCAGGGTCTAGCAAAGAGCCACTGAGATGGATAAGGGACTGAGGAGCTTTCATATAAAGAAGGGCTGAGAGAGCTGAGGGTGCAAAGGAGACAGAGGCTCATGCCAAGAAAAGGGGCAGTGGGTACAGACAGAAACACAAGAGGTTCTGGCTGAACATAGGGAAGCACTGTGAGGGTGACCAGGCAGTGGAACAGACTGCCCAGACAGGCTGTGGAATCTCCAGCCCTGGAGATACTCAAAAGCCATCTGGATGTGGCAGCTAGCTCCAGGTGCCCTTGCAGGGCAGGAGGCTGCACCAGTTCATCTCAGGAGCTCCTCACAACTTCAGTCACTCTGTGATTCTTGCAATCACAGCAGAAAAGGGGCCTGTGAGCAGGGGTTTGAGTGGTGCCTCAAGGAAGGAAAAACATTATAAAGTATTCTTATCTATACTCACCATCATGTAGGTCTGGGAACAGAAGATGTAGTAACAGTAGTACATGTATTGAAAGAGCTTTCCTAACTATGACTAAATTTAGAATAAATGTATTATAAATTGTCTGCCAAAAACATTTCTCACAATTTCATTTTAATTTTACTGCAGATATTTTTGGAGGATATTTATCTAGTAGTCTCTTAAATTAATTTGTGCTGCTTCATTTTGCATTGCAAAGACAAATAAATTTACATGCTAACTAAAAACTAGCAGAAGATTCATCTATCCACCTTTTCTCATCTTATTATGCTACCTTTTTAGAAATCTGATTTCTGTTCCCAGTTATTATATTTTATTGGTAAAATGAAAATAACTTCAACTGGAAAGCAATTACAGAGACAAGACATATCAGTAATAGAATTCCTTC